AAAAAAAAAAAAAAAAAAAAAAAACTTAAAACTCCTTTAAGCTGGGTGGCACCTGTGGCTCAGTGGGTAGGGCTCCGGTCACATAGACCGAGGGTGGCAGGTTCAAACCTGGCCCTGGCCAAACTGCAACAAAAAAATAGCCGGGCGTTGTGGCAGGTGCCTGTAGTCTCAGCTACCAGGGAGGCTGAAGCAAGAGAATCGCCTAAGCCCAGGAGTTGGGAGGTTGCTGTGAACTGTGTGATGCCATAGCACTCTACCAAGGGCAATAAAGAGAGACCCTGTTTCTACCAAAAAAAAAAAAACAAAAACTCCTTTAAGCTACCTTCAGTTTCCTATCCGGGCTAGAAGTCATCACTTCATTCTAATAAGAAAAAAACTGAACAAACTTAAAAAAAAAAAAAAAAATCAACAACTCTTCTTAGTTCCTTCAGAGAAGTAAGGTCAGAGGGCAAACCACTGCCCAAAATTGAGAGACAGAAAGGCAGAAACAGAAAAATCACAACTCACCATAACTGAAACCCACAAGCAGAAAATGTCCCCGGGAGCCAGTGCCAGGTTAGGGAAGCTTGAACTGTTTGTGTAACTGAGGAATTACTGGAGGCTCAACGTAGACAACAAAACAAGTCTGAGAGTTAAAAACTTGAGGAAGCCCCAGTCAGAGGGGTCCCTGACATTTTCATGAATTCTACCTCTGGGAGCTCTACTGGGTCCTCACAGTAAATAACAGAGAAAAATCCCTTTGTGCTTCTGGGTAGGGAAGGGGAAAAAGGACAATTTTGAAATCTTCCTTCTTAACAAGGCCAGCCTTCAGCAGAAATTTATTTACCACAGCCTAACCTACTGGGGGAAAGGAAATACTGCACTCTCCAGTTCCCTTTAGGTCAGCAGTTCTCAACCCAGTCGCGACCCCTTTTTAACCATGGTAATACTCTGGGGCATTAGGAAGGTTGAGAACCAAGGTGAGGCTTTCACAGGAGAAAGGAACATACAAACACTAGTCAATCATAGCCATTCTGTCCCACCTAAGGGCAACAAGGATGAAGGTGGGGAACCCAGAGGCAACGGTGAAGTTGGAAGTCGGGGAGAACTGGCTCACCACAAGACGGAGACCTGATCATGGGACTACAAAATGCTTCCCCTACCACTGTATTACTGAAGACCTATCTGTAGCAGTTCCTTTTACCCAGTACCTCATGTGTACTTTTCAACAAAAAAAAACTACAAAGCACACTAAAAGGGAAAAAATACAGTTTGAAGAGACAAAGCAAGCACTGAAACCAGACATGACAGAAATTTTGAAATTATCAGACTGGGAATTTTTAAAAACTGATTAATATGCAAGTGGTTTAATAAAAAAAGCAGACAACAGGTAAATACACGGGCAATGTAAGCACAAGGATGAAAACTCTAAGAAAGAATAAAAAGAAATGTTAAAAATCAAAAACAATGCAACAGAAATGAAGAATGCCTATGTGAGCTCACTAAGCAGACTGGGCACCTCCGAGAAAAGCACCTTAAGGCATGAGAATACAACAGTAGTACTTCTAATTTTTTTTATTTTTTGAGACAGAGTCTCACTATGTTGCCCTCGGTAGAGTGATGTGGCGTCACAGCTCACAGCAACCTCAAACTCTTGGGCTCAAGCAATTCTCTTGCCTCAGCCTCCCAAGTAGCTGGGACTACAGGCGCCCACTACTGCAACACCACCCAGCTATTTGTTTTGTTGTTGCAGTTGTCATTGTTGGTTAGCTGGCCTGGGCCAGATTTGAAACTGCCAACTTCGGTGTATGCAACTGGCACTGAAACCACTGTGCTACAGGAGCCAAGCCACAGAAGTTTTTTTTTTTTTTTT